CGTGGCTCAGTGGGTTAAAGCCTCTGCCTTCGGCTCGGGTCATGATCCCAGGGTTCTGGGATCGAGCCCCGCATCGGGCTCTCTGCTCCGCGGGGAGCCTGCTTCCCCCTCTCTCTCTGCCTGCCTCTCTGCCTACTTGTGATTTCTCTCTGTCAAATAAATAAAATCTTTAAAAAAAAAAAAAAAAGAAAAGAAAATACATGGATTTAAGGGGCGCCTGGGTGGCTCAGTCGGTTAAGCAACTGACTTTTGGTTTTGCTCAGGTCATGGTCACTGGTCCTGGGATCAAGCCCCACGCTGAACGTGGAGTCTGCTTAGAGTTTCTCTCTCCTTCCCCCACGGCCCCTCCCCTCTGTGTGCTCTTGAGCACTCTCTCTCTAACATAAGTAAACAGATCTTTAAAAATAAAGACAATACATGAATTTAGTAAGAATCCCAAATAGAGGGGCGCCAGGGGGGCTCAGTCAGTTAGGCGTCTGTGTTCAGCTGGGATCATGATCCCAGGGTCTTGGGATTGAAGCCTGTATGTGGCTCTCTGCTTACCTGGGAGTCTGCTTCTCCCTCTCCCTCTGCTTCCCCCCGCTCCGCCCCCACCTTGTGCTCTCTCTCCCTCTGTCAAATAAATAAATAAAATCTTAAAAAAAGAAAAGAATCCCAAATAGTGACCAGGTGTTTTCATTAAAAAAATAATAATAATAATAGTAAGCCTTGTCCTCATTCCAGCGTCACCTCTGCAGTTTCAATTTTTTTTTAAGATTTTATTCATTTGACAGAGAGCGAGAGCACAAGCAGGGGGACCAGCAGGCAGAGGGAGAGGGAGACCCAGACTCCCCACTGAGCACGGGATGTTAATAGCAACTCAGTTCTTAATAGTCCCAAAGTGGGGCCTCCCTAAATGCCTATCAACAATGAAATAGTTAAACACATTGTGGCATAGTCGTGCTGTGGAGCCCTATAAGCAAGGTGGATGAACGACTTGTGACTACAAGCAACAATCCAGATGACTCTCATAGAAGAGTTGAGTGAACAAAGAAGCCAGGCACGAAAGGGTGTACGCTAAAAGGTTGCATTTGCATAAAGTACAAAAAGAGCCAAAGCCATTCTACACTATTGGAAGGCAGGGTCTTGATTTTTCGAAAGGGAGAGGGTCATTGGAGGGAGTGGGCTGAGGGCTTGCGTCAGGGACAGTGCTTCTAGGGTTCTGTTTCTTGATCTTAATCTCGGCGCTGTACTCGTGAATGTGCTCACATTGTGAATTCTCGCCAAAAAATTTTATTCCTCTTACTTACAGATAGAAACACATCATTTTAGTGATAAGGGAACATTAAGAACTGACCGTGCTTCCAACTCGCACAGGGTTCATGGACTATAAACAGCTTATAATACAGTTGCATTTAGTATGGAACATTCTGTATCACTGTCCCTTCAATCCAGAGATGAGCTCTTGATTTATTTCTGAAGTGTTGCTTGAATTGTATCTCTAAGTAATTATTCTGATACAGGATCTCTTTTTTTCTCTTTTCTGTGCCAGCTCCTTCTCTCATTGATTCTTTTTCCCTCTTTATTTCCACCTCATTTGAACTGGCTGTCTTTTCTTTTTCCAGCCTTATTAGGATAGAGTTGTGTGAGCTTATTGTGATATAACATATAGGCTTAAGGTGCATAACATGATAATGTGGTATGTATATATATTATGAAATGATTATGACAATAAGTTTAGAGAATACCTTCATCCCCTCGCATAATCACCATTTTTTTTCTTTTTTGCTGGCATGATGTGAATTCTAATCACTTCAGACATTTATATTTGTGAGTTTTTTATATGTATTTTATACTCGGACAAAAACATTTTCAACCAAAGATAGACAATGGCGCTAAAAAAGAGAGAGAGATTTACATTCTGAATCCCTTTCAGACAAGAAGACACAGCTTACACCGAACACGACATTTCCAAAGCCAGACATCTCTACGAGGCCATCCCTGGGGAAGGCAAAGGAAATGGCCCAAAAGAATGCTAGGATGGAAGGGACTTTGGAAACTGAGGCCAGGCTACCGAGGAGCACACAAAAATCTGGCCCCAGCCTGGCTGCAGACTCAGACAAAAAAATTCTCCCTGTAGAGCAAAACCATGAGTCCACGGCGGTGAAGAGATGCCTGAGCCACCCACCACCAGCAACGACATCACGGAGCACCGCTCCAGAAAAGAAGACCCTAAAAAAAGATATTCATGGGAAAAGCCGGGTGCCAGGCTTCCCAAAGCAGAATCGTCCAAAAATCCAACGGGGGAAGCCACACTTTAAATGTAAAGAATGTGGGAAAACTTTCAACCAGACCCTCCACCTCATTGAGCACGAGCGGATCCACACAGGAGAGAAACCCCACAAATGTGATGAATGTGGGAAGTCCTTCCGGCATAGCTCCTACTTCTTCACGCATTATAGGATTCACACCGGCGAGAGGCCCTACAAGTGTAAGGAGTGTGGGAAAGCCTTCAACAGCAGTTCCACGCTGAGCAGCCACTACAGGACCCACACGGGAGAGAAGCCCTTCAAGTGTGAGGAGTGTGGGAAAACCTTCAAGCAGAGCACAAAGCTCACTCGTCACCGGAGGGTGCACACAGGGGAGAAGCCGTACCAGTGCAGCGAGTGTGACAAATCCTTTGGCCGCAGCTCCTCCTTGACGGAGCACAAGAGAATCCACACGGGGGAGAAGCCGTACCACTGCAAAGTGTGTGGGAAAGCCTTCAGATGCAACTCGCATCTTTTTGAACACCATCGGATCCATCAGGAGGAGAAGTCCTACCAGTGCGGCCAGTGTGGGAAGTACTTCCGAAATAGCTCCCACCTGTCGGAGCACAGGAGGGTTCACCAGCTGGGGCCCTCGGAGCGGTGCCAGGAGTGTGGGAGAACCTTCCGGCGCAAGGCAGCCCTTCTCAAGCATCAGAAGGGCCACAGAGAGACTCACACCTACCAGTGTGAGGGGTGCGGGAAGGCCTTCCGCTGTAAGTCGAGCATCGAGAGACACCAGAGGATGCATGCCGGCCAGAAGCCGTACGTGTGCTCTGAGTGTGGGAAAGCTTTCACCGACGGCTCCACACTCATCAATCACCGCAAAATCCACACCACGGGGAAGCTGCACCCGTGCCCCAAATGCAGAAGGGCGTTCAGGCGGCTCTCGTCCCTGGCGCTCCACCAGAAAGTGCACGCCAGAAAGAGACAGTGAGCTCCGCGTGTGGGGGAGCCTTCAGCCCGGACCCACACCTTCCTAATCCCCGGAGAAGTCACGATGACGCCAACTTTGTGAGCAGAGATGGACTGCGCCTGCGGCGGGCCGCTAGCCGGCCAGCGGTCCTCATTCAGCGGACAGCACTATGTGGCTCCCCTAGACGTTTGGGGAGTGCCTAGGGCTATTTCCGGTTGTCCCAGCCTATTGCTGCCACTCGCAGGGAGAAGACAGAGGCTAAGAATCCTCCGAACCATATGATGCATCAGACACATCCATCTACAAGGAATGTTCCCGCCTCAGATATCAGGAGCGGCACCATAATTAATTAGATTTGAGAAGGATTTCAGGAATAGTCCACGACAGTAACCACTAAACAGTGTGTCATTATTTACATTTAAATGAATAAACATAAATAAAACGTACAGTGTTTCCTCAGCTGCACCCAGCCAGGATTCAGTGGCCAAACGCGCCAGCGGTTGCCGAATCGGACGGCGCGGGTGGAGAACATACCCATTGTTGCAGAAGGTCCTGAGTGGGCCCCGGTTTGGATCTTTTATCAAAATCCTCCTGCAACACAGCCCCGAGAAAGTGAGCCAGAGACGGAGGGCAGCACGGCCAAGTGTAGTGTTCCACGAAGGGCTCTGAAGTCTCAGAGTCTCAACCATTGCCCCCGCAGATGGTTCTGATGTCTCAGGGCCGGCCAGCGTCGTGCCCACAAGACACTCCCTTCTGTCCGGGCCAGAAGAGCCAGTCATTCGCTGATAATGCTACCGACACAGGCTGACATTTCCTGAGCACCTCACCCGCCATGTGTGACGCTGAGCACTTTACGTTACCCGGCCCCCCGGAATCCTCTCCGGAGCCTTATAAAATAGGAACTGATGCCATCCCATGTCATGGCTGAGAAAATGAGGCTCAGGAAAGATTTTGTTTTAAAGATTATTTCAAATTTTGCACATCAATCTAGACAGTACTGCTATTTTTTATATATTCTATGCTTTCAAATTCATAGCATTCGAATTTTCACGAAATATATCTTTAAAAAGTAGAGCTGTTTACATTTCTGTTCGGACTGCACTTTTGGGCAGAGAGCAGCTTGGCTTTACCTATGGCAGGAGCGGGCATGGAATGAGACTCTAGATTGGAGGTGGGCAAACCAGGGCCAACCCAGCCCGTGTTTGTAAATAAAGTTTTATTGGCACTTAGGCAACTATCCTCTATGACCGCTTCCGTGCAAAGCCGAGTGATCACAGCAGAGACCAGATGCTCCATAAAGCCTAAAATATTTGCTCTTAGACCCTCGGCAAAGAAAGTTGACCGATCCCTGCTCTGAACAGCTGATGAATTGAAATGAATGAGGGTGGACCGTGGGAGTGGTTAGGGAAGGAAGAGATAAACCCTCGAACTTTTGTGACCATGACCCAGGGTGTAAAAGATGCCCTGTATTGCAGTACGACACACATGTGTGTATTTTCTACGTATGCCTTAACGCGTGTTTGTGCCTATGTGAAGGACACGTTTAATGCAACACTACCTACCCTTATTGTGTGTACACACCGATTCTCTTTCGCTTGAACAGTCATAACCTTCTAAATCAATTTCGCTAACCAACACATGGCACAACCCCCAGCTTGAGAAGCCTTGCCTTGGTGGTGGGACAATGTAAGATATCACCTCCTTTTTGAGCGGTCTGGACTCTAAGGCCTTCAAGAGGGGCTGTGGCTGGCATCACCGCTGGAGAATTTGCCAGAATGCGGAAGGTGGAGAGTGCCTCTGTGTTCAGAGCGTGACTTTGTGCTTGCTCCCAGAGCAGCTTGGAGGAAGGACAGACCTAGGTTCTCTGGATTGCTTTCACAACCTCCAGCACATTTCCTTCCCGGCACTGGACTAAGGGGGAGGACAGAGAGAGCCTGGATGGGGATCTCCAAGGACTCTGGTGGGGCTTTAAGAGGGAACCATCGGGGCGCCTGGGTGACTCAGTCGGTTAAGTGTCTGCCTTGGACTCAGGTCCTGATCCTGGATCCCAGCACCCTGGGATCGAGCCCCAGGTTGAGCTCCCAGCTCAGCAGGGAGTCTGCTCTCCTCCCCCCCCCCCCCCGCTTTTGGTCTCTCTTTCTAGCTCTCTCTCAGATAAATAAAAATCTTTGGAAAAAAAAAAGAGGGAGCCATCTTTAGGGGTGTGGCTGTATCCTCCTGGAAATTATCTCAGGAGTAGGGCTGGGTGGCTTGCCTGCCTGTGGCAGGCGCTTGTTCTTGTGGTTGCTTTTGTCTGTGAGACATCTGTGGAGGTGGGAGGAGTAGAGGGGATTCCTCCTGGATAAGGGAAGAATGTGTCTCAACATACTCACTACATTCCTGGTTGCAAGTAACAAGAACCCAACTCCCACTAGCTTAAGTGAAACCAACATCAACAAAGGAATGTATTAGCTCATACACTAGGGAAGCTTCCTTGCTTGAAGTTATCTTTAACTTTAGCGACTGGAATGGAGAACATGACGCGGACAGGACCACATGCACATCTCTCATCTCTGGTCCTCTCTGCAAATCATTGCCTTGTCCTTCTTTTAGCAAATAGGAGCGTCCTCTACAAACCCAGAGCCACAGCTACAGGCCCCAGAGTCCCAACCTAGGAGAGAGAGAGTGTCTCTCCCACAGACTTGCCAGTTAGGCTGCTATGATTTGGTGGAGCCATTAAAAGAATGATTCCTCTTGTCAATTTTTTCTTGGGGTGATTGTAGTAAGGATGTGTCACTTTTATCACTTTTGAGAGGACAATAAAGGAAGAATAAACAACCACTCAGGCTGGAGGGGAGAATGAATACAGGCAGAGAGACACCTGTCAGGGCTGAGACCCTCCCCAAAGCTGGAGATAATGGTGACCTGCAATGCCCAGCAGGAGGTGGGGGGCTGGGACCCAGCCTGGGCCCCCGTGTGTGTGTGTGGGGAGACTGATCTATTTACTAATAGGCCTTCAGGCCTGGACGGGTGGCCGAGGGGTCTCTGAGGTTCACTGCACTGAGCGCGTCCTTCTGGGGGCCTCCATCTTTATCTGAACACGCGTGTTTCTAAGGAGGCCGTGTGTGTGTGTGTGTGTGTGTGTGTGTGTGTGTGTGTGTGTCTGAGTCTGAGCAGGGGCTGTGTTCCCGCACATGTGTGGATGGCTGTGGGTCTTCATTCGTACGTGTACGCCTGTGAGCCCGAGGGGGTGATTCTGAGCTTTTGAGGGTGCGCTGTTGTGTGTGCGAGTGCCCGAGAGAGTCGCCCTGTGCTGGAGTCAGCGCGTGTGCGATGCTGGGGCAGGGCCAGCCCTGGACGCCAGCACCCCGGGGCCGGGAGCGGGGCGCGGTTGGACCCTCCCCAGAGCGCAGCTGGCAGGCACAAGGGCTGCGACCCTGGCTTCTCCTCCTGGGGCAGGGATGGGCCTGTGTTTGGAAGGCCCCTGCCAGGCCTGGGGGCCAGAGTCTTGGGGAAGGGTGGGGGGAGAGCCCCCTACTCTGGCGCCCTAAGAAGACCCCGGCCACCCGGCCAGCGCTCCCGGGAAGGTGGGGGCCAGAGAGGAGGTGGTGGAATGGAAGCGGCCTCTGCCCGCCCCCCTCCCCTCCCGCTGTGAGCACAAGCACACTGGCCTCAGGGCCAGGGCGCCCGCCTGGGTCCTTCTCTGGCCCCGTTTGGATCACCGGCCCTGGGAGCGCACATGGGGGCAGTGGGGGTGGGGTCCTGAGTGTCCCTGAGCTCTGGGAGAGCACGTTCTTCTCACACACTCTTTGTCCAGGGCAGTCTCTGGGGCTGTGGTGAGGGGGCCCTAGGCAGGCAACCAGAGAGGCTCTGAGCCAGCCCGCCCCGCCCCGCCCCTGCCCAGCGGGAGAGCAAGAGCCAAGTCAGACCGGGGACTGGGACTGGGAAGGACAGTCTGTGGCTGCTGCCATGCTCTGACGGGACCCCTGCGCTCTGCTCAGGGCTGGGCCGCGGATCTGGGGTTGTGGGGCTGGCCGGGTGGCGGCGGGATCCGGTTCTGGATGAGTCCCAGATGGGGATCCAGATGGGGGTGCGGGTGGGGGTGGGGGTCAGGATCCCCGTAGGAATCCATCAGCTGCACTGCCAGGCCGCTTTGGGAAGGGCTGAAGGGGCTGCCCTCCCAGCGGCGGAGGGATCCGGGCAGCACAGCACAGCCGCGGGCTTTCGCGGGGGACAGCAGCCCGCTGCCCAGGTGCACCTGCCGTGGGTGCTGCGGCCTGGAGCCCCGTGGAGGACCAGAGACTCATCCCCAGGACGGCTGGCACTTCCCTGCCACTTCCCAGCTGCCCGCCACCCTGAGCTGCATGGATTCCTCCTGCCACCTGCAGGAGAGAAGACCAAGGCGACACAGCACCCGGAGCAGCCCAGAGAGGATGGCTGGGGGCACCCTGCATGCTACTGTGAGGGGGGAGGAAGGCACCCTGGAGGGGTCAGGACACTGCACAGGCCACTGAGGCGTCAGGGGGAAAGGGATGGACTTGGCTGCTGGGGCCCAGGAGAAGGAACTTAGGGGAGAGCCCTGGGGAAAGGTAGGGGGGGTGGGGCGGGGGTTAGAGACTGGAGTGGCTGTCTGGGCCGGGAAGGGGAGGCATGCTGCCTTTGGGGGCATCCACGGAGGACGCATCTGAAGACTGGAGGAGGAGAAGGTCACCTGCAACCCAGCCTTGGCGCCTCCAGTGAGTCTGTGCGCGCGGCCTGCCTGCCCGGTGTGGGGGCTGGGAGACAGCCCAGGGTGCACAGCCAGGAAGGGGCTCCCAGGGACACGGGGGTGTAGGTGGGGGTGGGGGACGGGCCCTGGGTGTCAGGGAGAGAGGGCAGGGCGTCTGCATGTCCCAGAGGGGGACTTGGAGTTTCGGAATGGGCATCCACAGACACGTGGGTCTGTGTGTGTGTGTGTGTGTGTGTGTGTGTGTGTGTGCGCGCGCGCGCCTGTGTGTGCCACAAGTCTGCTGAGTTGGTGCGTGTGGAACTGCACATGTGTGTGTGTGCACTGACCCGAGGGTATCCGCGTGCCCGGTAGGCCTCCCAGGCAGAGGGAGAGAGTCAGAGTTCTGGAAAGCACGCCAGTCAACCAGGAACACGTGTGTCTGTGCGTGTGGGTGCGTGCGTGTGTGCAGGGGCCTGTCCCTTAGGGGCTCGGAGGACACCTGGGGGTCGTGGTGCGTCTGTGGCTCCCGCGTGTGCCCCACCCCCACAGCCCAGCCACCAGGATCCCCGCAGCCAGGCACCTGGACCCCTGTTGCTCTGGAACACCATGTCTGTGGCCCACGGACATCCCCTGGCCACGGAGCTTTGCCTGCTGTCCCTGCAAGGCCTGGCCCGGGCCCAGGGCCTGGCTTGTGCTAGAGGTTTCCTGGGTGTGTGGGCAGTATAGGGGCAGAATCAGGGGTGTGGGGTTGGGTGTGGGGGGAAGGGGAGACTCCTCTGTGACCCTGGCAGCCGGGCCCGTGGGGCGGGGCAGTTGGGGGCCAGAGAGAGGGTGGAGGGAGAGGCCACCCCACCCCCCAACCCTCAGCCCCTAATAACAATAAAGTTGTAGGCACCTCAGCCTC